TTTCTCTGATATTAATTTAATTCGCGTAAAATATCCACAGCATGATTAAATGCGCAAAACTTGGAATCTCAGACCAATCGTCTTACTCATCCATTGTTCATCAGCGAAGAATCGTTAAATTTGTATTTTAATATTTGAGTTTTATGTATTGAAGAAGAGAGAGACTGTAGTGCAGTCGAAACGTTTACGTTGTATATTGTTTCTCTACTGGAATGAGAATTTAATTATTATAAATCTTTAGATCTTATGTAATTTTTTGATCGTTTAGTTGGCCTACAATATTTATTTCTTTAATTTTTGTTAATTTATACGAGTCTTTCATTAAATTAATTATAAATAATTAAACCAGAGAGACTGATTAAACTATTAAAATATTAAATTATAAAACTATAAAATTATTAAAACTTTTAAAGTATTTATAATTTTACTTTTTCTCCCGACTGCTGCCAACCGTAGGTTGGCGAAAAGAGAGGGAGTATGCGTTTTTCTCCCGACTGCTGCCAACCGTAGGTTGGCGAAAAGAGAGGGAGTATGCGTTTCATCGAGCCCGGATCGGTCGTGACCTAATTCTCGATAACTACTGCATAGTTTTATATCAACTTTGGAACATAAGTTTCTTATTAATCAAGGAAGGTTTAAAGCGTATTATTATCGTTATTTATTCTATTAATAAAAAGTGAAAAATGAGTATTATTTCGTCAATACGGTCTCTCATTGGCTGCTGTGTGAACCTAAGAGGAAAAATGATTCACCAATGAGATTCGTTGTAGTATCCGGATAGGGAATGTTGGTGACATTGGTATATACATCTCGAAGTAATAATGGCGGGACTGATAGGATAGGTTAGCTGTCACCTGTTGCGTGTTATTGTCAACAACAATATTAAGTAAGTGTATCATTATGGATATATCTCAAGAAGATATAAATAAAGGAGTAAGTTTCTTTTTTTATATTTATTGTTTTTTTCTTTATTTAGGATATTGTTATTATTATTTATTTATTGTTTTTTATTTATATGTAGGAAGAAGATACTCGCTTGGAGATATCTGAAGAAGAAAACATTATTAATAATAGAAAACGAGTAAGTCTTGTTATTAATAATTAATAAAAATATATAATATAATTAATAATATAATTAATCTGTTGTAGTCATAACATGGCTATATGAATTTATATTTGTCTGCGTAGCCACTTATTTGCTATTAAATTTGCTGCGTAGCCACATTGCTATAAATATCCACATATATAATTGTATAAATGTATATAGTTATTTTCTCTCTTATTTGTATATTATATAATAATTATATAATTAATTAAAAATATGTATACAAATATATTTATAGTTATACAAAGATATTAGCTTACGCACCAATAATTATGGCAATGCAGACAAATATATTAACTTACATAGCCAATTATCTACTACAAAAGATTATTCACATATGTAATAATAATTAAGGCTATACAAATATATAAACTTACTTGTGATTACATAATGTATAAACTTATATAGCCATAAGAAAGTTAATATATTTGTCGAAGCCATAATTATAACTGCGTACAAGTTTACGTATTTGATATAAGATATTGTTGTCATCTGTCTTTGTCATCTGTCTCTCTCTATCTATCAATCTATCTATCTAGCTATTTTTTTTATTTATCTCTCTATTTATATTATATTATATTAATTAAAAAATTGTAGCAGAAAAATATTTGGAAAGAATATAGAACATTGCAGTCACATGGTGAGTGTATGTGTGTCTTTATTATTATTATTATTATATTATATACATTGTAATATATATATTACATAATAAAAACTTTTACATGTGTAGGATGAAGAAGCAGAGAGACTAAAGAATGAAGAAACTGCATAAGAACAGCAAAAAGAAGAGTAGCAGGAAGCTTGCGGTACATATATGGGCAGCATAGTTGCGCCGCACTCTAAATGTGCATGTTGGCAGCAATGTTGCGCCTTATTATCTGAAGAAAGAGTAGAGGAATCACCAATGGCCATAATATATGATTATAATCACAAACAGGAATGAGGAATAGAAGAAACATCAAGAACATACATATATTAAGAAATTTTTTTATTAATTATTATTATTATAATATTATTAATATTATTATAATGTTATATATATGGTTACAATTATGTTATATATTTATAATTATTATAGCACTATTTTTTTAATTATACAACATATATATTGTTATATTATATGTAGAAATATATTATAATATTATATAAATATATAAAAATATTATATAATATATAAAGATATATATATATATATATGTCTATTTCAGGTTACACGAAGAAAGAAGAGAAGAAATATCGGACGAAAAAGTAACATAGCGGCAAAAAATTTGCGCTATAAAAAGCAAAAAACATGTTTATCAACAACAAACAACGAACAAACAATTGAAGCAGCAAATCAACAATTGTCACTTAAACAAGCAATAGAATATTCTGCAACAATAAATACTGAAAAAAATATTTCACAAGATGCTACTAATGTACTTCTACCCAACAATCAAATATTACAAGCTACTGTGTTATCGATCCCTCAGGAAATTCCACAATCTGATATTAATACCCATAGAAAAAAGTTGTTACAACAATTTCATTTAACTATATCGTCTTTTGCGGATATTGCTTGTGATGTTTGTAAAAAATTATGCTATAAAAAGCAGATATGTAATACGAAAATATCTGCTAAAACGATTGATATTTTTCCTACCGAATTACGCGAATTAAATGAAATTATAACATGTTTCCGTTGTGCTAATTTGATTAAAAAAGGCAAAGTTCCAACACAAGCATATTGGAATGCTATGTTTTTAGATGAAATTCCAGATGTTTTGCGAAATTTAAGTGATATGGAACAAAGACTTTTGTCAAGAATTGTTCCATTTATAAAAATTATTAAGTTAGGTGGACGATTTGGTCAATCTGGCTTTCGAGGACAAGCTATTTTATTTGCGCAAGATATAGAAGAAATATCGGAGCAATTACCATTACCAATTACAAAAATAGGCATGATTATTGTATGTGAACAACTTGAGAATGTTGAAAGATGCCGACAATTACAAATTAACGTGCAAAATTTATCAGCTGCTTTAGCGTGGTTAATCCAAAATAATCCATTATATCGAAACATTAATGTTAATTTTGACGCTGCAAATTTTGACATTTTACAAATATGTCAAATTATTGTAACACAAGATAATGATATGAATATTAATGTAAATAATGGCCCATCCACAGAGCAGACAATAAATAAGACAAATTTAATCGAAATAGCTGGGAATAGAGCAATAATCAGAGGTTCCATACATCAAGGTCATGAAATGTTTTCTGATACTACAAGAGGGAAACAGTGTACTGCAATTGCGGCGGTTGCTATAGCTATGTCTTCAATACATCAACTTCAAACTTGGACAAAAAATCTCATTGATACCATTTTATTGATAGGAGATGCATTATATGTAACAAGTATATCGAAGCGTAAGAATCCTCATCTTGCTGAAATTAACAGGGATTTTTTATCAATAGATGAATTGCACACAGATATTGAAGTCTTTGGAAATATTATTACCCTTTTAATCACTCCGCAAAATAGCGTATCAGGGCATTTATATAATGACAATAGCAATGAAGGATTTCTTAATTTGAAAAATGCTTTAAATATTTTTTTTCGAGATCATAATTATGGTGTATTAACTGCTAATGGAATTTCTGTTTCTATATTTCAATTTGATAATAATTATTGGCTATTTGATTCACATTCAAGAGGTTCAAAAGGTAGACCAGCACAAAATGGTACAGCATGTTTGATTCGATTTCCAGCTACGTTATCAATGTTTAATATGTTAAAAAGTATTTTACCAAAATTTTTGGATAATACTTTTAATAATCAGTATACCATTACTGCTGTTTATCCTCATATGCATTCTAATGAACAACAAAATCAAATACATAATACGTACATTGAAAATGTAGCAGAATTAAAGGAGAATGCTGCAGAATTGAATCCAAATGATGAGAATGCTGCAGAATTAAATTCTAATTATGCGAATGCTGCAGAATTAAATACAAATAATGATAATTATAATATTGTTATTATGTCTTCAGTTTTAAGGCTAGTTGATGAAACTATACCTGACGTTCAATCTGTTATTGAAAAAGAAATACAAGATGCTCCCTTATACACATTGCGACGGAAAACTACAGAACCTGTACAGATGCATACTGAACTTCGAGCTGAAGAATTAGCTTGGTTTTTCCTTTTTCAAAAGGACGAAATGGACTTCATGAACCATCACGATTATATCCTATTACACCATTAGATTATTGTCAAGCTCGTATTATGTGTCAGGATCCTAGATTTCAACGAAATGATTACTTATTTTATTGTTTATCCGTCATGGAATATTACCGGGCTCGGCAAAATGTTGGCGTCTGCCTTAGATTTAGACAAGGCAATAATATTCCTGAAGGCCTTGTACAAAATTTGCATATTAATATGAGAGCTTTGCGTGGTTCTAATGCATATTGGCAAACTGCATGTAGCGGTTTAATTGCTATGGTTCGCAACTTGGGCCCGCCACAATGGTTTTTAACGTTAAGTTGCAACAATCTTAATTGGAAAGATATATTGCAAGCATGTCTTATTGCAGCTCAAAGAAAAGGAGAGAATGTAGACAATTTAGAGTTTAATGAAAAACAACGATTAGTTGTTGAGCATCCCGTAGTATTATCTCGTCATTTTATGGTTCGTGTTCATGCAATGATGCGTGTATTGCTAAATGATGACACTTTATTAGGTGGGAAACTAATAGATTTCTGGTGGAGAATAGAATTTCAAAATAGAGGTAGTCCACATTTACATATGCTGTGCTGGAATGAAGGAATTCCATTATTTGAAGGCCCACAAGATATAGCTCTTATTGACAAAATTGTATCCTGTACATCTTCTACGGGAGATGACGAATTAGATGCACTCATTTCACGCGTTCAAGTGCATAGACATAGTAATACATGTTACAAAGATAGACAACACGGACAATGCCGATTTGGTTTTCCAAGAAGAGTTAGTGATACAACTACCTTGCTTGGACCAGATGAAGCTATTCGTAATAATGGACGTTTCTGTATATTAAAACGTAATTCTACAGATGTATTTGTTAATAATTACAATTCTACACTTCTTAAATTATGGAATGGCAATATGGATTTGCAACCTTGTGGGAATGTTACAGGTATAGCTTATTATATAGCTAAATATGCAGCTAAACATGAACCTCATGATGTTGGTCAAGCAATTAAAGATGCAATCAGTAGAGTTCAGAGATACGGTGGAGATATAGGAAAGCAATTATTTGCTGTATCAATGACTATACTTTGACATAGACAGATATCTGCCTGTGAATGTGCATTTCGTTTATGCCATTTAAAATTACGTGATAGTTCACGCAAAGTTGTTTTTCTAAATACATGCTTTCCGCAAGAACGTTATCGTATGTTACGTTGTGATGGCTATATTAACAGTGTATATGCAAACTTATTTGATCGTTATTGTTTACGTCCGGAGAATTTAAACGATCTCAGTTTAGCTGAATTTGCTGTTACATATGAATGTGTATCATGATTTGACAATTATGAAGAAGATGGAGATATCGAAGTTTATAATCAAGAAAACGATGTAGTTTCAACTAAGTATATTCGTTTACAAGATGGTACAAAAATGAAACGGCGTACACGTCCTGCAATGTTAAGAACACGATATTATACTCAAACTAGTAATCGTGAAGCATACTTTTATAGTTATTTAGTAGCTCATGTTCCTTTTAGAAATGAAGAAGAACTACTTGAGGGATATGAAACAGCAGAACAGGCATTTAATGCCAAGCGTCAACTACTACGACCTCTACGGAGAGGACAAAATATTGAGCAATTTCAATTTGTAGAACGAGAATTACAAGAAGTTATAGCTCAAATTGCGGCATTTAATGACGGCGATACAAATGCACAATCTACGGTAAGAAACAAAGATCGAGTACGTTCTATAATGGAGGAATATGATGAAAATAATATTGATTTAGATTTACACGATGAACCTAACGAAGCAGATCGTGTCATATCTGCTGAAGAATTCGAACGAAATGTTAGAAATATGAATATAGAACAATCTAATTTGTTTCACACAATTACTGATCATATTAAACAAGATATTAAAGGTCAAATTAGTGAACCTTTACGATTATTCATTACAGGAGGAGCAGGATGTGGAAAAACATTTCTTTTAAAAATGATAGAACAACAGATTAAGCGATGTTATGCTCCTACTATTGATCTTTTATTGAAACCGACATTCGTTGAAGTGACTGCTCTTACTGGTGTTGCCGCTAGATTAATTAATGGACGTACCTTACATTGTGCGTTCTTTTTAGCAATAGAAAAAGGCAAAGCTACAGTATACAGACAATTAACAGGACAACGTCTTGAAGATGCAAGACGTAAATGGCGGCATATTAAGTGGTTAATTATTGATGAAATATCAATGGTTTCGTATGAAATGTTGAGATCTATTCATCTTCGTCTTCAAGAATTTAAAAATAATAATGAATTATTTGGTGGTGTTAATATATTGCTTTTTGGAGATATTATGCAGTTACCACCTGTAAAAGGAAATTGGTGTTTTCAGCAATCTATATGTTTTCAAGGAGAGCCACATTTATGGCGATATTTTGGTTTGTGTGAATTGAAGACTAATATGCGTCAACAAAATGATGCTGAATTCGTTGATTTATTAAATAATTTGCGAGTTGGGCAAATGAACATTGCACAATATGAAATGTTATTAAATAGAAATAGAACATATATTCCTTTAATTAATGAATTTGCTGATGGTGAAGCTATTCGTATATTTCCTACTATAAAGTTAGTTAATTCTTATAATAATAAAATGATTGAAGAAGTAGCAAAGACACAAAGAACTTATATTATAAACGCGCGAGATGAATCCAGAGAACCTGCAACTTACGGTCAAAAGCCCCTGCCACTGCAATTCCTGCTGATCCTAATAATACAGGTGGTTTGCTACATATAATTAAACTTGCAGTTGGTTCTCGGGTAATGTTACGATCGAATTTAAAAGTTTATGAAGGTTTAGTAAATGGAAGTATGGGAATTATACGCGGATTTCAATGGCCAGCTTTACGGAAAGATCAGTTAGAAGATGGTGAATTACCCAAGAAAATATTCATTCAATTTGATGATTCTACAATAGGAAACAGTTTAAAAGAATCTAATGGTTACGTTGCCATTTCTCCAATTAGGGTCGTATACCAAGGTAATAAAGGATATGGAAATATAGAAAGAACAATGCTTCCTGTTATTTTGAGTTGGGCAGTAACAGTTCATAAATTGCAGGGTACAACAGTTGATAAAGCTGTAATATATTTAGGTAAGAAGATATTTGCTAAAGGTCAAGCATATGTAGCTCTTAGTCGCGTAAGATCTTTACAAGGATTAGCAATTCCTGAAATAGAACAGAAAAGATTGTTCCAACGTCCATGTGATGAAAATGCTTTAACAGAATTAGAACGATTACGATCACATCATAAATAATTGAAAAAGCCAAGATTTTAATTTATTCATCCTCTTATGCTACATAATTACTGAAATTAATTAATGAAAGGCTCGTATAAATTAACAAAATTAAACAAATCAAATATAGTAGGCCAACTGAACGAGCAAATAAATAAGATGTAAAAATTTTATTAATAGTTAAATAATTAAATTAACATTCCGTTACAGAAACGATATAAATTGTAAACGTTTCGACTGCACTACAGTCTTTATCAATACATAAAAGTTAAATATTAAAATACAAAGTTAAATGTTAAAAATACAAAGTTAGTTAAATATTAAAATATAAAATTAAAACGATTCTTCGCTGTTGACCAATAGATGTGCAAGGCGATTGGTCTGAGATGCCAAGTTATGCGACATTTAAACATGCTGCGGATATAATACGCGAATTAAATCAATGTCAGAGAAAATTAAAAAATCTTTCAACTTACATTATCGTTTTAACAAGTCCTTTTTCCCGATATTTCAAGTGTGTGTTGCGAAGTCTGAATAACAAATGTCGAAATAGAGAGCGTGATGTATTTATTTATTACCAATGTTTTTTCTAAACTATGATTCAGCAAATTTTTTAAGTATGTCAAAATAACTACTGTCTAACAATTCGGTGTCTTTATTTAAATTAATTCCATTTTTCTGTTCTTTAATGTGGATCATTTCAGATATTAGCCTTTTATGGTAATTCTTTTCATGATCCATAATTTTAATATTGTCCCAGTCAAATGTATGTTGTTCGTTTAGAATGTGTTCCGTGACAACCGAGTGTTTAGCAGAGTCTAATTTAATATTATTTTTATGTTCTTTAAGTCTCGTTCCTAACTGTCTTTTTGTCTGTCCGACATATGTGGCGTCACAATCGTTGCAATTCAATTTATAAATAACATTAGAATTCGTGGAGCAATTATTTCTGTCCTTTTGAACTTTTATGAAGTCATTCAATTTTTTAATGCAACGATATCCTACCACTACGTCAGGTCTTCTTATTGCTGAAGCAACTTTCTCAGATATTGATTCTATATATGGTATGACAAAATATTTAATGTTAGTATTAGTATTATTAGTATCTGTTATATTGTTATTATTAGGCTTGTTAAATTTCTTAGTTGAGAGATTTTTTAATCTGCGTTTTATTTCTGTGAAAATTAGATCAAGAGGATAACCGTTGGATAGCAAAATGTTAATAGCTTTCTCTATATTTTTTTTGTGAAATTGCGGATGTGATAGTAATAAAGCTCTATCTACCAAGTTATAAATTGTTCCTATTTTATGACAAGTCGGATGATTTGAAAAAAATGAAAGTAATCTACCTGAGAATGTCTTTTTGTGATACCAATCTAAATAAATTTTATTATCTATTACTTTGATCATTATGTCCAAAAAGCTTATACACCGATTATCCTCTTTTTCCAATGTAAATTGTAGTCTATCGTTATAATTGTTGAATTCGTTCAAAACATATGTAATATTGTCAGCGGAAGTGCATAAAATAATGTCGTCTACATAACGGAAATAAAAAGTCATTTCGCAATTTAAATTACTAATTACCAATGTTTCCAAGTCCTGTATGACTATATCGGCAATGATCGGAAAAAGTGGGGAACCCATAGGAGTCCCATAAATTTGTTTGTAAGTTATGTTATTGAACGTGAAAAATGTAGAAGTTAATATAAATTTTATCATACCTATGAATTCATTT